AGAAAGCAGAAGAAGAACTCTGCCTTCACAGCTCGGCCTTTTGAAGAGAGTTTTTTGTGTTCTGTGATCCTGTGTATATACTGTAAAATGGATCTGTTCGACAATAAACATGGAGTCAGTTAGACTGTGTCACAGAAGACAAACAAGATCAAATGAACCAGAACTCAATGTTTAGGTTGTATTGTCATTGTGCTCGTTCATCAGTCCAAGTATAAAAACAGAATGACCTCCTGTTGCCTCTCACCTGCCCTTGCGTGCAAATTCGATGGATTTGATGGCAGTGGTGTTGCTGGTGCCAGTGGTCACTCTGAAGGACGCCACCAGCTCCTGGGTGTTTGTGTTCAACACAAGGATCTGTAAGAACAGATAGAGGGAGACAAGACAGTGACAGAAAACAGTAAAAACACTGTATGTGATTCATAAAACACAAACAGCTTTGTGTGTAAAATGTGAGTGGAGAAAAATGAATAAATTCAGGTAAAACGTCAGGTGGTACAATTCAGCTAAAAATTGGAGCAGTCTTTGTGGATGGGTGTATGCACTGATAAATGACAGTGTCATTTTGGATTGGGGATACCTGGGGAGACAACAGAGTCAGAAATGTTCTAATTCTGCACATAGAAAACTTGAAACTATGAGCTTTTCCTTTTTTAAATTATTTTTTGGGGCGCTTTATGCCTTTATTCAGGTCCAAGTGGGAACTCGGGGGCATTTGAGCCCATGTGTTATCAGGTTGCCTTTACTTGTGCTGTCTTAAAATGCAGTGATGTGAATGAACAGTGCACTTGGAATACAGTTTGACTGATAGATAGACTGACCTTTCCTTTGGCATTGCCAGTGTAGATGTACTCGCCCCGTCGGTCAAAGGCTGCTACCACATTCAGGTCTGAGTCATCGTCCACAGGCAGGACAACATGTTTAGAGTCCGAGAGAGTCAACAGGACTGGGGCTGACTTCATGGGACACACCAGCACCTTGTCCCTAAAACACAAACATAATTTGTTAGTATAAAATAGCAAAGTACATGAGCTTATCACTGATCAGGATGGATTAAATTGGCAAAAACTCTTCATGGGAGACCAAAAGATAAACCTCCGATGACCTCACATACAGACAGATGCTGTCCAGTCACTCACATGTCTCTTGGGTGGTACTGCAGTTTCAGGATGGGTGAGGGGAAACGGAATCTCTGGTCACAGTCTCCAGTCAGGACATCCCACTGTGAGACAATGTTGTCTGTGGAGGCACTAACTAGCTTGTGGCCATCTCGACTCCAGCTTCACACGGACAAACACACAAACAAAATTATATTGCATTCTGTAACTCACCATTAAAAGTAATTTATGATCTCTGTCATGTCTAACCCTCTCTTTCATTTTAAATGTCATATCATTTTAAACTGCAAATGAAATTAGTTTTTCATTCTCATTTCAACTACTTTACTGGCTGTATTACAACACAGTAAAAGTGATTACGACGAGCAGGAGTGTACTGAACAGAGGTTTTTTAACAGCTGAGATTCAACAAAGGAATTGAGTTGGGTTTGAGTGTATTGGCACATAAAATGGGACGTTCACATGGCAGTGATGACCCTACACATTGTACAATGTGTCTCACCATAAAGAGCAGACTGGGTGGATGTGTGCACTGATGATTTTGGCGATCCCCCGTGTGAGGAAGTCCCAGATGACGATGCGGCCATCGTTGCAGCCCACAGCCAGCAGGGTGCCCCAGCGGTTGAAGGTGCAGGTGAGGGCCATACTGATACAGTCCAGAGTGCCATCTGCCTCCTAACGAGATACACAACCACAATGAAACAACAGGCACAGTTTGTGTACACCACTGAAGCAGCTTAGCACATGATTGTGGCCAAAAATAAAAACCCATATTCCATCTGTATATGTGTTTGGATGATTTTTAGTGCACAAATATAAAAGCTCAGGCGGCTTACCTCTGGGTAGTTCTGCCCGAACGACTCTAAGAGAGGAAAAAACCAAGAGACAGTGATGAGAAACACTTTCACGCAACTGAGTAGTAATCATAAATGAAGACTGCACTAAAGTGATAGCTGTCTCAGAGACACAACGCAGCCTTCCACTTCTTTCACTCTGGGGTAGAGCAGAGTATTTGAGCCATGGATTACATTATGCATACTTTATCCCTTACACCCTCAGTTCAGATTGAGAACTTCACAAGGAAAACATACAGCAGGGAGAAAAATGAATTAAGCTCCTGTATCCACAGCTTTACAAACCAGGTGTACCTGAAACCTAGACTACGTCAACATGGATACTCTTCCTACTATTTTTTAAGGTTTGTATTGCCTTTATCCATTTGGGTAAAAACAGAAGAACTGCAACTGTAGTGTTTTTCTTCCATTCTGCATAGTAACAACTTCGTTAATGTACAACTTTTTCTTAAACAGTAACACTTCCCCCTGTCATATGGACCAGCTACGCATTGTTTTTATTTAATCTCCCAGTGGTCCTGCTAACGTTAAGAGAAGAAAGAAAGACGAAATTACGAATAAAACGTATGACAACGCCCCACTATAGAACATTTAATTAAAGTACAATGAGAGACAATGTACCGAGGCTAACGTTAGCTAACTGACACACTGCCTCCGTTTAATAACAAACGTTAACAGATAAGTATTAATCAGGCTCAAACAATATGTTAGGGGCCCAATTAAAGTAAACATTTTAACAAAAAGTTAACTGTGCGATTCTAATATTTAATATGATTTTATTGTAACTTGTATCACTTGCTGTTAACATGCTAGGCTAACTTACAATGCTAACCATAACAAGCATAGAGCGAACAGGAACGATACAGAAAACAAAGAAAGGTTTTTTGTTGGTTACCGAGCAGTTCTAGATTCATTGCTGGACGACGGAAGATCCAAAGTTCCCTAACAAGTTGACTTTAATTATTATTTTCACTCGTATTTACTTCGGCAGCTACAGCCGGGAGACTGGCGCCGAGCTTCCACTGAGGACCCCAAACAATGCGACGTAGAATGTGCCTGAACCAAATTCGCACCACCTTATTTTGATTTAAGGAGGCTTTAGTTAAGTAATTAATTTTTCTAAATTTGTTGTATTAGTAATAAAAAAAAATCTAAATCATTATTAATGCAAACAATGTATTTATTTGTTAATATTATTGTATTAATATTCAATAATCGGTCCATGCATGAAGTATAACTCTTCTGCAGTTGTTCACGTTGTATAATGAAAAATGCCACTTTGTCTAATTTCTCACACCAAAATTAGTGTTTTATATCTTAAACCTTATGTCCAATTTAAAATCTGGATGAGACCTGTTAGAAGGTACACTACACAGCTACTGTAGATTATGGGGTTAGTGAAGTAACGTTAACGCTTTTCTCACAGTGGCTCAATGTAATTTCAGCTATATAACTTCAGTGGCCTGACTGATGAAAACAAACCTTTGACTTTTTTAGAATATTACATTTGCAAGTTTATACTTCGAGAGTATGTTTTTCTACCGTGAATGAAAGTTGCTGCCAAAATCACCACGCAGCCCCTGACCCTTGACTCATATCTCTACACTATCTTTAACTTTAGAGTTTCACATGACTGTACTCAGACCTGCATGTAAATCCATATGTGTGCAGCACGTCTCAGTGAGTTTCCCTCTAAATTTACATGAAATACCAGGAACTCTCACAGAGACAGAAAACACAGGCCCCACATTAAAACAACTGGTTGTAGCTGATGATGATGCAGGATCCGGGGATGGATCCGGAGCTGGAGCTTCAGCAACCGCCCACAAAGGACTTCCTGTTTTCACAATAAAGGCCTAAAATAAATTTGATTGCGCTGTGTCACCAAAGATAATGAAAACACTAAGTGAGAGGCTTTTTTTGCTATGGATTCCAACATCAGACATTAAATAGATAAATCATGCTTTCATGTATTTATTTCCTGATTAAAAAACAGGGGTTACATTTGAAAAAAAAATACTACTGAGATTGTTCCAGTAATAGTAATAGTAATAGTAATAGTGTAATGTTGAGCTTTGCTCCACAGTATGACCTTATTGGCTAAACATGGGAATAAAACGCAATAAATAAATACATTCAAAAATTGTAGATTAAGAGTGATAGGTCACTTGGTCGGCAAAAATTATATTTGCAATTTAGACGATTTTCAAGCTTTAGAAAAAAAAAAGAAGGATAGCATGTGTTTCTTGATGACATGAATTTTCAGATCGGGAGACATTTTGTTTATTTGACCGAAAATGTACCATTATCTCGCTGAAGCAAAGACGTTTATTTTTGTGTCCAATATGTTGGAAATATGGAAATACAAGGTTTTCAACAGCAGAATATTAATTTGTCACAAAAAGATGGTTTATTGTTATAAGTTAATTTCCTTTGAGACCTGAAAAGAGGAAGTTTATACTAGTATATGTTAATTGTGTAATTTTGTTTAATTTATTTTCATTCTCTATTCCTTTTCTTTGTTTAATAGTTAGGTAAACAACGTATATGGGAAAATATCTTTTTTTTTACTGTGAAATAAAAAGAATTTTTTTTTTTTTCATTCTTATAGTTAGAAGAGTCTTTGAGGATTCTGAAAATACAGTCAGAACAACAACAACAACAACAAAAAAAAGAAACTGATGGTTACCTGTGTTACTAAAATGGACTAAAATGAATTCTATGCCATAACATGAGAGGCACAAACTGGGGCTAGGGCCAAACCAGATCCCTAAAAATAGACGATCGCAGGCCATGACAACAAAGACCAGTTTCCTGTCTTCTACCAACTTTATTCTTATTCACTCCTAACGTCTCGTCCAGCACATTAGATTCACTTTTATACTCGTTGTACCACCTCCAAAAACTGAAGAAGTCCACCTCGCCATATTGAGGGTTTTAATTTGAAGGTTCTAAACGGAAGCGCAGTGCGTTCCAGTGTGTGTGCGTGTACGTGTGTACGTGTGTGTGTGTGTTTGTGGTGAAGGCGCCACGTCGGCAGAACCACCAGGGTGAAAAGAGACCTGCGTAGCTCTGCCTGTAACTGTGAGTGAGCAGAAGTTAGAAAGCTGTACATTAATGCGATAAAGACGTGAAAACCGAGCAGAAAAGGCCGCTAACAGTCAGAGCAGCGGGTTTCACCGAGAGAGAAATTATTTAAATTAGAGCAGAGTTTGGCTCGGAGGCTGAAACAGAAGCTACTCCAGGCTCAAGTTTCTCTGCCAGGTGTGTTTGTGAGAGAAACACAGGGAACAATGGTGAAGGTAAGGACTCATCAGCATCTTTTTTTTTTTTAACAATAAAATGTGTGAAAATGTGGTTCACAAACTGCGTGTGAGTGATTGGATTTCAACATTAGGCAAGTTGCATGACTGCAGTTTTGTAACAGTCGGCTGTGTGAGTGATTATGTGGAATTTGAATATAAAAACAGGTCATTTTACCAGTAGTGTCCCCTTTAATAGATGTGGCCTCTTTGCTTTCCTTGAAAAATAAGTGTCATTTTCTGTCCAGCATCATTAAAGGGAGGCGTCACAGCTTCCTGCAAATGTTTGTCAAACTCTGATCCAGCAGTGCCAAAATTTAATATAAAAAATCCAACATTTTTATTAGATTTGACTTCCAGCTCGAACAGTGGTAACATTTATCAGAAACACAGATAACCTGCTGCAGTAGCTCTTAACCTTGGGACTGGGCCCCTTTTTGTGGGTCACAAGAAAAAAAATGGGGGGTAGGGTGATTCATTTCAAAGCGAAATAAAATTTCTGTGTTTGCATTACATGTGTGAAATATGGTCTAAATACATGACATTTTAGAATCAAAGAGCCATGGTTTAGTTGCAGTATTCACCACTCTGTAGCTTCTCACCGACTTGCGATAAGAGGGAGGCATCTCTTAATTTGAAGGGTCACAGGTCAAATAGGTTAAATACAATGACCTACAGCTTGTCCACCAGTGCATTGGATCTCCTTCTGGTGCTGCGGCCACCTGTTGGGTCTTTCTTATACTAAATCAAATTGTATTTTACAAGCAAAATATAAAACATAAGAGAAAAAAGGGAGTAACTCAGGTAAAATATTATTTTGAAAAAAGAAAATGCACACAAATTGATAAATGCACAAAACAAAAAGAACCAATGTTAAATAAATTGCCTCAATAAGGTTGAGATGAATAAGGGGCCCCAGGTTTTTGGAGTTTAATACGTGTGCCAGATAATTATATATTCAGGTCTAACCCAGAGTCGGCTAGAGAGGCAGAAAATTGTATCTGTACTTCAGTTAAAATGGCTTCATACTTTTGCACAGAATGACAGGGTGTGAAAGAGATTTCCCTTCCTATTTATATTTATGTGTATGTATAAAATCTAAATATGACCTTGATGATAATGGATTCAACCCAGTCTGGCATGAGACTTCATGCCAGAATTTTGTGACAAGAGCACAAATGGGGAGAGAGGCCACGAGTCTGTGTTTTACATGTAGGACATAATTAAAAGGGCTTTGCATTCAACTTACTGCACACAGAGGTATGTAGTTCTGTTATAGCCAGCTTTTCTAAGAAGGGTTAAAAAACACTTTATACAATTTAAAAAAACAAATCAGCCAGGCTGGTATCAGCTTACTGTATATTTATTGGTATTGTGTTACAGCTGAAACAATGAGTTGATTAATCACTTAACCCATCAACTGAAAATTAATCAGCAATGATTTAATTTTTATCATCAAAATTCAGCTGTTTTCTTTTCCAGCCAAATATCCAAAAATTCAAAACTCATTGGTTCCAGCTCCTCAAATGTAAATGTGCTGGTTTTTATCAGCCACTCAACTGAATATCTTTGGGTTTTGTTCTGTTTTTAGGACAAAATATAAAGATCCATATCAAGATATCTTGTATTTACTACTGGCCGATATAACTTAATTGGATTTAAAATTTTCAAAGATACTAAAGTGATATACGGTACATTTAGGCTGAGTATCATTTTAGTATATAGGCAATAAAGCTGAAAAAATGACTTCCGAAAAATATCATTGTCATATAAGTAGGGCCGGGTATGAAATGACGGGACGCAAGTACAGATACAATACCTGAGTTTGAGTACCAATAACAGAATGATGCTTAATTAAAAGTTCTCTCAATAAAATATAGTGTAAAATTTGCAAAAAATTTTATTGAAATCTGGAATGATCTGATCAGAGAATAAGCCAACAATTAATGAATGTGACTGGATAGTTGATGCTAGATTTCAGTTTGTGACAGGTTTGATAGTCACTGCTACACACGGAGTATTATTATTCAGAGTAAAGAAAGTCTGGGATTTTCCTGTGTTTTCCAGAACGTGAACAACGTTAACGTGGAGCCCCAGCCGGGGACCAGCGTGGCCTTGGACGAAGCTGAACCCGCCTACAGCCAGTCTGCAGAGGGTATGTAGCGAATCCCCCCCCTGGGCTGCATCTAAACGCTGAAACATCAGCAGGGAATATGGTGCAATCTGTGCTCGCATGTTGCCCGCTGCTATTTCAGTAACTGTTGGTTTGTCAGGGGAATATGTTTGTTTGTGTAAAAGTTGCTGCAGCTTCAACCTGCTATTTGTGTCCCAACACTGAGACGCTTTGCACCAGTTTAACCCACCATGCTGCTCTCAGTCAACATCACTGTTGTTATTGGATGAAGCGTGATTCTGTCCAGCATTCCCATCAGGTCGAATGACGGTTTACTCACCAGGTGACTTGTAGAGATCAGAGCCCTTCAGGGCAGTTGTTAAGAAATCACAGATTTAGCGCCTACGACACCCAATACCAAGAGTTTCGTCTCATGTCAGTGTTTATTAGCCATGCCAGCGACATGGCTCTAGGGATGGTAAGGTCGGTCAGTTGGTCCATCACTTTAGTCCTGACTGAAATGAGTCAACAAATATCAGATGGGCTTGAAATGTGGTACGTACGTTCATGGTGCCCAGAGAATGAATCCTGATTTTTTTTTTTTCCCTCTAGCACCACTAACAGGTGAAAGTTTTCACTTATCCATTCAAATATTCCACTTCTAGTGACCCTGACTTTTCATCTAATGTCATCAGGTCAAATATATAATTAGTCCAGCCCTTTGGTTTATGACCAAACACCTGCAAAACCGATGACATTCCCATCAGCCTCAGTGGTGCTTTTCTTCTCATGGTAATTATACGTAACAAATTTGAACTAATATTAAGTTAATCTTAGCATACTAAGATGGTGTGCATGATGAACATCATACCTGATTAACATAAGCATGTTAGCATGCTGGCATTTAGCTCAAAGCTCTGTTGTGCCTAAGTACAGCCTCACAGTCACCAGCATGGCTTGGGACTTTTAGTCTTGTTAAACTTAGCACAATTGACACCTGAATTTCACAGCCTCAGCAATTAGCCGGGGGAAACCTGGTCTTTAGGGTTTGGGTTGGGTCGGGTGCTATTTCTAAAAGCTCTACCATGACTTCACACCAGGTGTGAGACATTGGCGGCACATGGGAGCCACTATTGTTCAGACTGCACTTAGTAGGAGCTGTGCTACAGTGTCACTGTCCTCAGAAGCAGCTGACCTCTCAGCATCACAGGCAACACGCGGACAAACTGTGTTCACTGAACTGACAAATATCAGAAATTCAATGGATAAGTCTGCTGATATTTTATATTTGTATTTGTATGTCAATAAATCCCACGTGCAGACCAAAGCCAACAACAAATTGATCAACTGACAATTATAGTATACATGTCCAAATCCTGATAGATCTTATTCCTCTGTGCCATAGAGCTCCATTATTGTCCAAAAACAATTAAAAATGCATCAATGCTACACACTGTTGCACTGGTTGACGTGTTCCCTGATTACCATGAACAGATGGTAGTTTATTTGGATTTAGTCCAACATACACTGTCCTGCTGCTGTAAATACTCACTAGAACAACAAATGTCTCTTAATATATGGCTGAAAATAGTCCCCAACAAATCCACTATTTCCCCCTGCTTTAGTAATGTCTACTAGAGTGACAGTGACCAGCTGTTTCAGGAAATATCTGAGCCCTTTTTTAAATAAAAGTGTATGTTTGTGAGGTATTTTTAAAGATTTACATCCTCAGTAGGAACTACTGGGCTCGGGACTGACTGCCACAGACAGGGTAGGGAAGTCAGAAAGCATTGAGAGATGGACTAACACATTGCTGAAATGGGTGTTTTTATGAGATGTGTGGTCAATAAGAAAAATGTAGAATATCACATTAAACATTAAAGTGGGCTCCATTATGATTATACAGGAAGAAAACAGGATAGATTTCATCTCCACACCCTTGTAGAAGTAGTTAGTTGGCCGATACGAAGCAACAAGGTTCTCTCTACATGTCGTTACATGTCTGCAGGTTATTTCATCTCTTAGACGTTGTCCAGCAGCGCAGGGATTCATGTGCGAGTAGAGCTGAAACAATTAATTGATGAGTCGATCGTCATAATGAATCAGCAATTATTTGGATAATTGATTAATTGTCTTTGTCTTAGTTGCAGCTGTGTGTGTGATAGTGGAAAACTCATGCGTGTGTCTGGTTCGTTTACAGACTCTAGTAAGGACCATGTGGCGGCGCCCCCCGGCATGATGTGGCGGGTGACTGGCGGCCTCTTCAATGTCACCAAAGGCGTCGTTGGTGCCGCGGTGGGTGGAGTGGCCTGGGTGGGCGGCAAGAGCCTGGAGATCACCAAGTCGGCTGTGACCACAGTTCCCTCGATGGGTGTGGGGCTGGTGAAGGGTGGGGTGTCTGCCGTGGCCGGCGGCGTCTCCACGGTGGGTTCGACGGTAGCCAATAAAGTCCCGTTCACAGCCAAGAGGAAAGACAAGGCTGAGTGAAGACGGCGAGGAGACGGATGGTGAAGATGATGATGATAATGATGTTGATTGATGATGGACTTGCCCCGCCCTGAGCCAACAGATAGAGGCCGCCAGCTGATCTCTGTCTGCCAATCAGACTCCACAGTGCCTTCAGACGCCTTTTCTCGGTCTTGAACATAACAGTCTTGTCACCATGCCGAGATCTAGACTCTGCTGCAAATACGACATTCAGTACCTAAAAGTTACCATGGCAACCCAGAATTACCAGCAAGAAATGCTGAGTCATCTAAATGCTTCATACAATCCTTGCCTGACCTGGAGTGGGGCTTGTATGTCTATTACATGGACCGGGATCCACTTCAGCACGTGGTGAACTTCTTGATGCTGTTGAATATTTTTATCTGTTTACAATCCAGACTGACACTCTATCTTTTTCTTCCCTCTTTCCAGTCTACACACATTTGGTGAAATGTTTTCTGAATTATGATGCTGATTTTTTTTTTTTTTTTTTTTTTTTTTTTTTTTTTTTTAAGTCTTATTTTGAAAAGTTATTGAAGTAATGTTGAAATCTGTGCGACAAGAATAGTGTGTGTTGTGAAAAATAAAATATTTCAACGTTGGAAGTGAGGCAGCAGTAGAGTTGTTCAGTCTGCATCCTTCACTGTGTCTGACCTTTATCCTTTGGAAAGAGCCCCGTGCGGTGTTTTTACCCAGCAGCCTCGGATCTGCATGTAGGAACACTTCTCTGAATGCATGTCTGAAGACTGTAAACACAATCACATGTACATCAACACTGGGCTGAGGTCATTCCCGCAGCTATATTATTGTTGAAATGTTTCGCATCACTACGTCTGAAATGTTAAAATGCTGCGTCGGACAAGTTGACTCTTTTTTTCTTTCTTTTTTTCTTTTTTTTTTTTTTAAGTTTAAGGCGCAAACCTTCGGCAGCATTTGCTTCATTGATGGTTGTGTGTGAGGGAAAGTGCCCAATGTTGTCTAGGGTGGTGAGTCAGTAAAGGTTGAACTTTACCTTTTCATCAGAAGTTGAACACTGTACTGTAGTGCAGGCAACATTCGTGAGCGTTTATGCAATTATATCAGCATTTCAATGCAACGTTTGGAGTGAGTGGGAGCAGTTGCTGATAAGACTTAACTATGTGAATGTCTTGTATGTGTTTTTTTTTTTTTTTTTCAATATATCAATAAAGTAGTTTGGAAGGTTAAGTATATCTCACATACAAACTGGAATCTGTTCCGCTGTCTGTGTCTGTTTCTGTGTGTGTGTCGTTACGAATGCTGTAAATTTAAAGTTCTTGTGAACAGATTATTACACATTGTGAGAATCCTTGATCCTTCCTCTTAAAATATTTTCAAAGCAGATTTTTATTAGTTCAAGAGATGGCAGTGTCAAAGTCCACCACTTTGGTCCAGACTGAAATCAACAAGTAGCAAACTACATTATATGTTTCTTGGATAGTATCAGATTATATGATTTTAGAGTTAAACTTTTGTCGTGACTTGGCTATGATACATGACTGACTACACGTTGGTCCCCAACCAATCACAGCTTGCCATCTCTCATGACCTGCGCGACGTCATCAGGAACCATATACCAATATGTGGCAAACGTCTCATATGCAATTCAATCAATTTTTTATTTCTTTATTTCAAATATTCCACATAAACAACAGAACAAATGAACACAACAGTACCTCCAGTTTAGAAACATAAAGAAGGTCAAAATACATAAGCCTCGATAACAAGATAATAATAACATGAAATATAATAGTAGTATGATAATTAAAATAAAATAAAACAATAAGAAAATGATATATTAAAATATACATTTAAAAATGCCAGGAAGAAGAAGAAGAAGAAGAAGAAGAAGAAGAAGAAGAAGAAGAAGAAGAAGAAGAAGAAGAAGAAGAAAAAGAAAACCTTTGTTCTGATGAGAGGGAAAAATAAAATCAGACGTTAGTGGCAGTGTCAGTTAGCTCGGTGTTACACTGGAGGGCAGTAACACCCAACCAGACCGTTTAAGGTGCTCGAAAATAGAACACGAAGAAGAAAAAGGCACCCAACCCGGAATCTGAGCTGCAGTTGGCAGTGTCCACATGTGCCCTGAGACCGTACACACGATATCTAATGCTAGTAAAGGAATATAAAAGACGTATAACAACGAAATGAAAACTGGACACTTCCTATAGCCAGTGAAAGGTAAGAAATCTTACTAGCATATGGTACATAGTTAAAAACAGACACCAATATGTGATTCAGGATGCAGTGAAGAGTTTAGCTAACAATTACAGAAAACTTACAGAAAATTTAGTTTCATAGAAACTTCGACCCTATGTGTAAAGTAGCTAAAACATTTTGGGTGTATTTGACTTAAGAAGCTCTATCGAACATTATGTTTAGCAAACTACTTCTGAAATAAGAAAGTACTTGAATGCGAAGAAGTAAACGACAGCTAGGTGGTAGCCTTAGCTTTTTACTATGTTGGTTGTATTGGGTTAAACAGCAGGTAAACATTTGCTGTTTTATGACATAGAGCTCGAGTGTAATGACAGTGTGGAAGGATAAACTGACCACAGTCAAAACATGGCGCATGATCTCTGAGTCTGTAACTAATGACGCATTTAATATAAAGCACAGTTTCTGTATTTGTATAAAATATTAACAGCTGTATAACACGGTAAACAGGAGAGTTACTCCTGTAACAGCATGGTAACACCTATAAGTCATAAATATAATTATAATACCTCTACGTGTTTTGCATGACAGGTTATAAGTTTATCTATGGTGCTATAATAGCTCAGTGACAGTTCACTGTCAGTGGATGGGAAACTATCACTTGTTGATAAGATTTGTGTGATTGTAAATGGTTGTTTGCTCCAAGTAAACAAGGTGCCATCAAGTTCAAACTTTTTGGCTTGTGACAGTAAACAGTGTCTAGTTGTGGCTGACGGATGTCTGTGAGTTGTGTGTCCCCTTTAAACTTCTCACATCTTTTCATTTGAATAACTGTTCAAGGCAGAAAGAGGTAAAAATATCCAATATTTTACAAAAAATAAAGAATTGGAAAAAAGTTTTAAAAATAAAGTAATATAAATTTGAATAGAACTTGTTTTCTCTTTTGTTGCTGCCCAATTAATCACATCACAACCCCTCCTCTTTGTCACAACCCCTCAGATTTGTCTAATGACTCTTTTCGGAGAAGCCTGACCCCTTAGGTTGGGAACCACTGGACTTCAATACCAAACCTCATACAAAGTAGTTAAAACTAGCTTCACTTTGAGCAGCTACAACAGTAAAATACAGCTTATACATTTATACTTAAGTATTAAAAAATCTAATTATGTAATATCCGTGTCTCTTCTAACCATCTTTCCGCTTAATGAGCACTTTTACTTGTGGTATTTGAAGAGCATTTGTTGGGCTGGTAGTAAGTATATCAGTCGTATGTTGCACTGTTTTGTGACCTGATGGTTGTTTGGGGTGTTGTTGCTGTTTATCAGACACAGTTGAAAGATGCTGAGTGACTCTGAGGCTGCTGAGCTGGTCTCCTTCCTGACCCTTGGTACACGTGCTGATGTCAAAGGTCAGGTCACGGAGTACATCCTGGGACTGTCTGGACACAGGTAGGATAATGAGGATGATGATTACTCCATTAATGATGTTGGCTATCAATAACATTGTGTATCTCATAATTATTGGTAAAGGTGTCAAGGTTGTGCTTACAAATGCTAAATGTTTATAAAGGTATTGGTATAAGTATAAAAACAGTTTTTTAGAGGTTTCTTTTGACGACAGATCAGCAAAATAAACAAGCAATAAAGAGTTTCTTCAGCTTGTTTTGCAATATAGTGCTATTATTACTATTCTGTTTTACCTGACACGATTTAAATTGTGCTGTTTTGAGGTTTATCGCACAGTATCTGTGGCTTTGATGTACTTTTATTGTTGGATGCAAGTGTAAATATTTGTTGTTAAATGTATTTTCTTTGAATATGGACCCTAGGAATAATAGTTGTTTGGGGTCCAAATAAAATAAATCAGTGGTTAGTCCTGCTCACGTTTGATCCGACTCATGAAGTAGCAAAACTAAGTCACTCTCTCTTTTTGTGTGTGTATGTGTTTGTTTTCAGGGATGGCTGCCGCTTCCTCCACTCTAAACCTGACTTACTTGTTGCCCTGTTTACGTTGACCTCTGACCCCTCTGTTGCCATAGTGAAGGACTGTTACCACATCCTCATCAACCTGTCAGCTGATGAGACTCTGCACCAGGTGAGGTTTAAATGAACTCGTAGAGATAAATTATTGATTATTAGTGACTGATCTGTGAGTGTCTCCTGTGAATAACGAATGTTTGACATTTGACAAATAGAACAAAACAACACGGATGATTCAGTGTTGATTTCAAACAAACACGTTACAGGTGTGTGTTCTTGGTTGTGTCTCACCCAGGTTTTGGTGGCAGATATTAAAGTTCTTCCAGTGTTGTTAAAGAACCTTATGGATCCAGAGTACCTGTTCTCTGATCAGATCTGTACCATCCTGACCAACCTGTCCCGCCATGAGAAGACCTGCAAGACTGTGTTCAAGGTGGGTCGCAGTGATGGATCTAGATATTTTACCTTGTGTAAACAGGTTTCAGCTGGGTGCCATGGGAAGGCAGTGACTGGACCCCACATGAAAACACATTCTGTTTCTGCAGGAAGGAAAGTAGGAAATAATCCCAAACGGAAATTCCAGTGTTGCAGTAGCCACTTCATATAAATCAGAAAAACAAGGATGTAGGTAACAAACAACACAACTAAAGTTTAAATTCTATACAGTAAGTGAATAGACTACATACAGTAGAGAAATAAATAGAAAAAAATTAGAAGAAAGACTTAAGATAGACCAATAGATATACCATATGCTGAATATAAGTAGCAGTTTAAAATTCTCCACAGTGTTCCCATGTTAACCTGCTGCTCTCTCCACGTCACTACTCACTCTAAAAGCCTAATACAACTTGACTCTACCATTTATCAGTGAGCTCCTGATCCACAAAACCTCTGAGGTGATCAGATCAAGGGCTCCTGCTTGTGCCCTCCTCAAAGTGCTGGATGGCAAGAGTTAAAATGTCACTTTACTGTTTCAGGTCCTCCAGGAGGAGGTGGGTCTGGCCCAGTTGGTGGAGATCTTCTGTACTGAAGGTTACAACAAGAGGGCGAAGCTCCACTACCTGGGTCCTCTGCTGTCCAACCTGACACAGCTGCCTGAGGCCAGAAACTACGTGATGGATAAGGACAGGTGAGCTGATGGTCAGACAGAGGATTTTGTAACTTTTCAACTGTAATAAACCGTCAGTCAGTTGCGCACAGTTGTAAAAGTGGGCAGAGCTTTAACAATCCACAAATTCCCTTTTTCACATTTCCCACCTCCTGCGCTTCCTTACAGCGTCAGTGAGAATTGAGACTGAGACTGAGGAGAGCTAGAAGAAATATGAGCTGATATGAGCTCTTGTTTCTCATTTGCATTCGCCATGCTAACCACACTCACTATGTGAACCTTACATCAATGGGCCACAGCTGCGGGCCTCCCAATCAAGACTTTCTGGCCCCCATCCTGATCCAAATCCTTAAATTTGGGGCATCTGCAGATACTGATATATATAGATACTGTATCCCATCCAATACTTATATTATATAAGCAATTAAATAAATATGTTTCTGGCACATTCAGGACAGATCCACTCGTTTTACACCTCTAATATTCGTGTGTGTGTGTGTGTGTGTGTGTGTGTGTGTGTGTGTGTTGCAGGTGTGTAGTCCAGAGGTTGTTGTCCTTCACTCAGTACCAGGCATCAGCGGTGAGGAGGGGAGGAGTCATTGGCACTCTGCGCAACTGTTGCTTTGACTACGGTGAGACACACACATGGGTTTTCAACCTGCGTCATGTTGTATTCACTCTGATCAACCTGCACCAGCATCTTGGAGGAGAAAATGCAATCAGCCGATCACAGTTCTTGCAGTCTCCACTTGGTAACCCCAATGTGTTGTTGCAATTTTGAGGAGGCACATGTCGTCTGTGGTGTAGCGTTAGCTGCCAACACACATAGCCTCTTAACACAGAAGTAAATCCAGCTTCATTTGATGTTTCATCAGTGGATCAGCTGGTTATCTGATATCACATTAAGACTAAATAGACTAGCCACATATTGAAATGGCATAAATGCACTGTAAGATGCATATGTAAGCTTTACTCCTCCCACTGTGTCCACTGTGAGAACAGCAGCTGGAGTGAAATGACACCTTTGACTGAGACCTTCAAATGCAGTTTAATTACACAACTTGAGAAACTTGAGAGATGCCACACAAGGTATTCAGCAACGTCTTTGTAAAACGTAACAGTACGTCCAGTCACCTGATCCTGACCTCACCTCCCTCTGTCCAGTGCATCATGAGTGGTTGCTGAGTGACGCTGTGGACATCCTGCCCTTCCTCCTGCTGCCGCTGGCCGGTCCAGAGGAGCTGTCGGAGGAAGAAAATGACGGTCAGAATGTGTTTCTAATAGTAAACCGTTTCACTTTTTCATAATTCACACAGGGTGCGATGCACTGTATTCATTAAGTGTCTCCACCATGTTGTCAGTGTTGAACTTACTCGGCAACTATACTGACACTTTGCACAACAGAAATGAGGAAACTTACTAACAGTTTAACAAGTTGTCAGCTGTCTTTCTAAATGAGTAAATTTAAAGGGGCACTCCACACATTTCTATCCATGAAGCTCAGGTTCCTCACCATGCTTAGTGCTACTCAGCCCGTTTTAAAGGCCCTTCATTGGCTCCACTTTCTTTTCAGAAACTTAATTCTAATTTCGTTCTCATTCAGTCATTGAGCCATTTCGTAAAACAAGGAGGGGAGGGAGATTTCTATTCTCTCCAAATAAAACTTTTGAGCTGTAACAATACAAAATATTAAAGCCCACTGGGTCTCAAATGGCAGTTTGAGGAAGGTTTTCAGAACCCAGCAACCCAAAACAGCAAGAACACAGTTCGACCATTCTGGCTTTAATTTGTTTCTGCTCAGAGTCCACCTGCCATGGACACAAGTCTCAATACAAACCTACTCAGATTCTTTTCCAAACAAAATGTTTTTAGTTTATCTCGGCCCAAACAAGCCGGCCACAGTTCCCATGTTTCTGACTCTTAACAGAAGTTGATGTGATGTTCAGGTCTGCCTGTGGATCTTCAGTACCTCCCAGAGGACAAGAAGAGAGATGAAGACCCCGACATCAGAAAGATGCTGGTGGAAACACTCTTACTGGTACAAACTCAAACTCAAAGACTAACAACACACACACGTCAATAGACCCATGTTTTCCTGCTGAGCTCTTCACTGTTTGTCACTCGTGTAGTTGACAGCCACCAAGACCGGCCGGCAGACGCTGAAAGACAAGAACGTTTATCCGATCATGCGAGAGTTTCACCGCTGGGAGAAGGACGTCTATGTTGCAGCAGCCTGTGAGAAACTGGTCCAGGTAGGAGGGATCTACCCACCAAGCTAATGTACAAAGGTTTTAAGTGGCATAAAGACTTCAGAGTCTTCCATAACACTGAGCTGAACATCTGGGTTTTTAACTGTTACATCAGACAAAACAAGACATTTGAATTTATCACCCTGCACACGTTTTTATTTTCTAAAACGTTATCGACCTGTGATTGATAGAAAAGGTAACTGACATATAAATCAATAACAAACATAATCGTTAGTTGCAGTCCTAGTCACACAACACAACACAATAGGTCTTTTTCACAAAAGTCATTTTGACATGTTGAAGCAGGAAAAGCACACGTGTAAATAATGTAATGAATGAAGGCTGTATTTGATTTGCTGCTCACTCTAAAAGTTAACAATTCGAATTTAACACAGTTTCAAGGAAACCTGAACATTATAACCTTCATGTAGCTGTGGTTTATTGCAGGTCTGTTGTATAAGACTGTATTAGCTTTAAACAGGGGTACCTAATGAAGTCTGATACTGATCTGTCCTCTTTGCTTCCGTCGCCTCCCTCCAGGTGCTGATCGGTGATGAGCCGGAGCAGGGGATGGAGAACCTGATGGAGGTGGAGATTCCTGAGGACGTGGAAGTGAAACTGAAGGAGGCCGACGCCAAAGAGCAGGAGGAACTGGAGAAGGAGCAGGAGAAGAGACAGGAGGAGGAGGAGGAGGAGGAGGAGGAGGAGAAGAAGAAGAACAGTGATGCAGAGCGGACAGACAGAGAACAGGAGAGTGGACTGATTCAGTAAAACCTGTTTTAAACCCGTAACATCTCAGGCTCCATCAAGACGTCTGTCATTCAGACAGTTAAATGTTCATCACAGCTTCGTTCAGACCTGACAAGACATTTACAGAAAGAGACACAATCCTCTGAGATGACTGTCAGCTGCTCTACAGAGGGAGCTGAGCTGAAAAGAAAACGTAAGTAATGATTTAAGAGAAGAAGAGTGTTTCCTGTTCTGTCACAGGCTGCACCAGTGATGAATTTCAAAACATATTTTTTGCTGTTGAAGCTTTAATTAATGACCATTGAGATCATTTCTTAATGTCTGACAGTGAGGATGCATATGTTAAGTTGGGACACACTCACACCACAAGGAAAGAAAATAGACTTTTATAGACTGATCTGATGAAAAACCTTAATTAAACACGGCTCACTCAGTGTTTCATGTTTATTAAACTGATTTTATTTTCTTTGTGCGTTTAAAAAATGAAGATTGACTAATTTATAATTCAAAGTATTGCAAAAATGTACACCTTCATTACTTAGATCACTACAGAACAGGGTGCAGTCTGGCCTCCCGAGGACCGAGTGTCTTCACCGTGAGATCTCACCTTCTGGTTTTTAGGGTTGAGTTGCTCCTTAACACCCGGTTTTCTTTTATTCCCACTTTAAGAAGCTGCAACTACTTTGTCTGACAGAATCATAGATTGTATATTGTGTATCATGATGTTCCAGCTTTTCATTGAAGCTATGAGATGTTTACTCTGAGTGAAATATTCCAACCACAGACTCCATGTTTTCATGGAAATATAAATAATCTACATGTCTGCTGCATTTGTGTGATCATTTCATCAACAGAGGAGTTCAGATTTTTATAAAAAAGTATGTTTTTATCTTCTTTCATCTCACGCAGACGGTACTGAAAACCTCTCACTGATTCCTGGTTTAAATGACACTGATTGACCAGAAGGGGGCGTCGGAGCATTTACAGTTTCTGTCACTTCTCACTGACGCTGATCTGAAACCGGTCACTGCACTTCTGCTCCCCTCTCCGCAGAGGTTCATCTTTACCTTGAAAATTTGAGAACGTCACATTTAAAACTAATTTCACTGTACGACCCGGTTGAAAAGCTTAAAGCTGAATCATTTTAATTTAAGTTCAAATTATGTTGCAACTTTGTATTTTGTATTTATGTCTTTATTAGTTACTATTCTGATGTATTCAGATAATTCATACACTGTCAGTATGGAGATAACTGCAGTGAACCTGAACGTTTACATGAAATGAATTGAGACCAGATCAGACGAGAAACTAAAACTAAAGCTGCCCTCAGCTCTGTGTGTGTGTCCTCTGTTCTTATGCCTTTGTGAGGATCGGTTTGACTTTAAACCATTTAGACTGAGGATGTTTTTGACCAGCAAAGTCTCATTTATTTGGGTAAATGAGAAGACTTTTGAAAAGTGAGGACATTTCTGAAAAGTTTAAACCTTTTTTGAGAGAGAAGTTTTAAAATAGACCTCTTTTGAAAGTGAGGACATTTTGTCTGGTCCTCACTTCTTCAAAGGCTTGAGTGATGGTTCAGATGTGGTTTTAGGTTTAAGGGTAGACGCAGGTTCAGTTTTTTGTTTTGGTGTGTGTCAGCAGATTAGCAGTATTGTAGCTGGTAGAGGAGCAGAGGAGCTGCTGAGATACTTTCTGTAACATTTAAAAAGGAAATGTTAATAAAAGGAATAGGGGCATTACAAGCACAGAAGTTGAACAGTGTGTATCTGTGTGGCTGCTGACCAGGTGTGTGTCTTTATCAGCGTCTTTGTGAGTTTTTCCACCTCAGCACAAGGTCAGAGCCAAACTGGATCTACAATCGATGTCACTTACACAGTGAAGGGAAAAGGACCTTAAGCTCTGCAGGTTGAAATAATTTGGTCCGTCTAAAGTTCATTTACTTATATTTTATCATATTAAACATTAACCTCAGGGGGAAGTTATTCTTCATTCTATCTAATCTGCTGTCAAGTTAATCCATAGTTACTAAACAGAACTATGTCAAATGAATGGCTTTAAACATTAGATTCACATCGATCCTTTAAATATATCTTGTTATACTCAGTGATTAGGTCAGCCCCTATATTACCTATATCTGATGAACTATCTCTATCCTCAGAATTAGTTGCTTTGAGCCACGTCTGCTCAGAAGAACTTGTGTCTAAAAAGACAGATTTTCAGTTTTAGTTTGACGTCTGCAGGGGAGCCGCTGCCTGGAGAGCTGCATGTGAATCAGACTACATGTCGAGACCGAACACACTGCTGCATTTTTGTTCACGAGAAGGTGACGACAGGAAGGAAAAGAAAGGCGACTTGTGTTGAACGAGGGCTTCGGTGTCTCTGTGATGTTGTGAAACCAGGCAGGTCTGTGTGTGTCCCTGCCAGCCAATCAGATGCTGAGGTTTCCTGTTTCACTTCCCCTGTGTGTACCGTCACAGTACACACATGAAATACGTGTCAGACGTGACCTACACACCAACGGTTGTATTGTTTGTGTTGTTGGATGGTACATCTGACACACTTTGATCTCAGCTGGGTATTAACTGAGTACACGCACTGCAGCACTCTTATTACTCAGCTGCTTACTTTATAATAAGCTCTTTACAACCAACTGACCGATGATACTCTCATGAGATATGATGCAAATGTTACTTTATTTTATTATTTATCACTGACTTTGCATCCATTACTACCGACAGCATGGCTGTCTTGAAGAACGATGCACACTTTTCTCTTGCTGCTGTGAGTGCAATAACCACAATTTCATGCTGCGCAACTCCATTTACCCACCACCACACGTCCCACATTTTCCATTTATTTATTGACTTATACCAAATTTGTGAAAATGAACTCACATGTTATTTCTTGGACTTATTCACTTTGTAATTTGTTGATTATCCTTCATGAGCCTTGGTTCAGAGAAAGGGAATATTAAAGTAAAGTGTAGCCTATAAAAAAAAAAACAATACTGAAGTAATTATCTCACATCAGGTGGTTTACTGCATTAAATTTGATAACCAGATTATTCTGATTACACTGTGGCCACAAGTATTTATTATTCATGTTATGGACAATTTGCACTTCCTCAGATGTAAACTGTGTGTTGTCAGGATGTCTGTGAAGCAGATGGAAGTCGTTGCTGTGAAGCTCGGACCAGCAGGAGGAGCTGTGACCTCTACCAGCTGGAACCCTCAGCATTCACATACCAGGATTCATTTAGAAAAACGGATCAAATAAAACATACAACAACCGACCACTCGGCTCTGAGTGTCCCCTCTGGTATGTCACAATACAAGAGTGGACCTCCTCTCTCTTCATGTCGCTTCAACATGAATCTTACTGTCAACTCTTGAGTGTGTGTGTCTGTCATCCTGCTCTCTCTCTCTCTCTCTCTCTCTCTCTCTCTCTCTCTCTGTGTGTGTGTGTGTGTGTTCTCAGTCTTGTGTAACATTCACCACGCTGCTGAAAGAGAGACAGAGATAAGTTGAGCTCATGCTACCAGAATAACAACTCCCTCCCTCTGCTCTCCTGAATTGATCTCCTCAGTGTGTGTTGTACAGTTTGCGAGGCTCCCACACTGTGGATGTGTGAACTGTTTCCTGCTGGTCCACTGACCTGGCAGCTTTTCCATGACATGTTGAAGACTGGAGGCTGGTTTATGAAAATGTGCGTTAATGAGGAATGTGTGTGTGTGTGTGTGTGTCATTCTCAGCACATCATATCTAGTTTATTTAATCAGTACACAAATCGAAACGTTATGAGTTTATGTGTCGGTGCTAGATCTTGACAAAAATCAGTGTATGAACCGTCCCAGTGCTTCTCTGCAGCACCTAATCTGGTGTTATGCGGCGACCTCATGACAAGACTCCAGGAAGTCACTAAACACTTTTAACATGTAACTACACAAAATCACACTGTTTTTTTTTTCCATTTCTGTTCACATATAGATTAAACACATTCAATCCAGGAAACCAAACTTTTTAGTGCTTCGTTGTTTTGCTTAATGAAATTTTTGAACTGAACTTTCAACTCCAAGGAGACAAATAGTTTTGAGCAGAAAAAGATTGTTTCTGCTCACAGTATGTATCATGTATCATTGGACAAATCACTTGTATTATTAACAAAATACATCAGCATCTGTGATCATGTACTGTAGGCTACATGTAAAATAAGTGTGGACTTTCTCTTAACATACAGCAGTTACAACAAATGTTTGTCAAGATTTGCTGTTGACATTTTTGAAGATTTACTGAAACAATGGGCCCTTGATTTCAGACTGAAGTAGACAAAAGCAGTCTCTCATTTTAACCGTCAGTGTTGAAAACTGCCACCAGCAGATTGTGTCAGCTGAATATCCAGCTAAATAACATTCGTCTTAAATATGTGTTTGACAGCTGTTATCATGCTAACTCAGCACCGTGTAATGATGCAAAAAAGACTGAGGCTAAAACTAACAAGTCAACATCCTCAGTATCCATGAAGAAGACACGAAGGAGCAGCATTGGTTAGTTAAGCCTGATATTATAGCGCAGTTGAAAACATACATGAGGCAGTTGTATTACTGAAGAAACAGACAATAAGTTATTCAAATTGTGCTTTATTGTTAGTACTTTCATGTACCTCTGTTAAACTTTAAAAGTGTTTCGTCAACCGATTCTCAAAGTGAACTGAGTGACTCAGTAGCTTTCAGCAATGGAGCTGCTCACTGCTCATTAAAAGCTCATTAAAAAACAATCATAATCTGATAATGTCAAACATAATCTGTGGTAAACAAGAGGCCGCTGGGCCATTAACTTCATGTGCAGTGCTTGTACGGGCATATTCTGTACCAAAGTAAATGAGGCAGTTTAAAGACAGTCTGACTCAGCCCTGAACGTCACAGTGGTGATGCCTTCACTTACTGACGTACATACTGAAATGCATTTGAATGGAGGAATAAAGTGAACGAATTACATAGTCAGTGACTGGAAATCTGAACTGAACTCAAGGAAGCCATTCAGATCAGCAAAGTGATTTAGCAGTAGGTTAGTAAACCTCCCTAAATCCAAGGAAGATCAGTGCAGAGATGGAAATGTGTCTTTGACGTGGCTCACACAGGTACGCAGAGAATCAAGACACATTTAGCAGAAATACACAGATGAGCTAAAACATTGTGACCACTCACAGACGAAGCGAAGGGTGTTGATGATCTCATAACAGCGGCACATGTCAAGATCTGGGAAATGTTAGTCAACGTGTTGGATGCAGGAGAAATGGGCAGGTGTAAAGACCTTAGTGACTTTCTTGGCGAATAGAGGAATTAAGTTTGATGCTGAATTTGCAACGTTTCTTTTGGACATGTAAGTAAAGAGCTGTTAATGCTAAAGTTGGCGATGTAGCAATAGTAAAACTTACAAATAGCTCCTTTAAGAACAGTTTGGCTGTAAAGTGCAAATATGTGCAAGTGTTAGGGTCGTAATTCAATCAAAATGTGGTCATTGTGTTAATGGAAGTTGGTATGAATGATTTTTTTTTTTTTTAATGAGCCCTGCCTGGAGTCCAGAGTTGCACCAACAGAGGAACACCCCCGTCTAGCGGATGGTGAATGTGTCAGTTGTTTTTTTCTTGAGAAAACTACTAGAAATGTGCAAAAATGTAGCTTCCAGTACAAGTTATTGATTGACATTAAACTTTAAAAAAAAAAAAAAAAAAAACCACCCCACAACTCTTTTGGTACCTATAGATCTGCCAATGTGAATGTCGTATGAACTTCAACATCTTTAATTGATGATTAATGATTGATTCTGGAGTTTAAAGCTTTTTTTTTTTACATTAAATCCTGTTTAACTTCAGAGTAGAAACTTTGAGACTGAAGCTTCTCATCAGAACCATGAGACTAAAGTTTACACAGAGACAGAGTTCAGAGGTGGAGGCCCACTGCTGGTTTGTCATGCTGCTGAGCACTGCTGTCAGTCAATGTGTTTTTCTGTGATCTGATTGGCCGGTTTGTGTACTCAACAGAGAAGTCTCCACCCCCGGAGAAGACGGCTGTACTTTTCCACTCCAAACTGAGTTTACTATCCAACTCCATCCACTCCTCCTAGTCCTCCTCCCTCCTTCACTTCATCTATTCATAACACACATGCCCCCCTACCCAATCACACACACACACACATACACCCACACACACACACACACAAACACACACACACACACACACACACACACACACACACACTGAGGTAATGGAGGTTTCGTCCTGGATTTTTGGTACAGAACCACAACGACTGGGGTTACTCTCTGATTGGTTAAGAGCTCTGCTGGGAAAAACAGCAAACCAGTATTCTCAGTTTCAGGGTGGTTTCACTGCAGATGGTCTGAAATGTGACAATATTTCCATCATTTGGTTATGTATTTGTTTTCTGGAGAATTTTTCATTTCCACTTCCTGTGAGGAAACACCAGGCGTGACCATGGCTTGTCTTTCCACACATCTAAAACACTTACAAAGTTCATTGTTTCCATCCTCTTATATCTGAATTACTCTTATTTCTTACTCTTATTAATAGCAATTAATTATTCGCAGAGGGTTTCAGCATTACAAGTCTTCATGTGTATCAACTTGGTTAGAAGTAAACATGACTCAACTTTGGATCCAGATTGGGGAATTCTTAGTCAAATAGTGTTTCCTTATGTGTCTCCCATATTACAGAGAAATTCAGTCTGTTACAGCCCTGGTGTATTGACGCAGGTCTCAGT